TCCTCACTACTGTGTAAAACTCTAGTTATTCCGACTCTAGGTCATTGCTTAACTAATACTGAGACAGCCATGCCTCAATTTCAGACAGCGTTTCCTGTATAACTGTTTTGCGTGTTTTTCACTATAAACTTTTCTCGCCCTGCCTACCTACCTACCTACCTACCTACCTACCTACCTACCTACCTACCTACCTACCTACCTACCTACCTACCTACCTACCTACCTACCTACCTACCTACCTACCTACCTACCTACCTACCTACACCAGAAACTATTGCAGTATTGCATCAACGAAAAGCATACGAAAGGACTAGTCAAAACAAAAACGAAAATATCTTGCCGGAGCAATCAGGCGGTCTCGATCCCATTTACAGTAAGCAGGGAAATCTCATTTTACCGGAATTAGTCATGGGTGTCAGGGGATGTGCAAGAGGTTAAGACGGGCCTGCGAAAGCAAATTAGATTGTGCATAGAAAACTGAACCAAACTGCTAGACTGCCCCAGCGGTTTAGTAAACATCAGTGAATGCGGAGATACTGCATTCAGTTGCCAGAATCCATGCTACCGGAATCAAGAGTGAGATGAGATAGAATTGTGGGTTGATGGTGATGGTGTTCCTGTGCAAGTCTGCGTATTCACAAGTGCCTGGCTCACCTGTGTAATACCGCAGTAGCCGGAGCTTTGACTGTGAGATTTTTCAGAGCAGTGATGAGATCGATCGCCACGAACGGCTGGAAATTGACGATTCGGCTTATACAACGGACTATGTGAATATGAGTTCTACATACGCGAAATGTATACACAAAAGAACACAAACTATGGCACATCGGTAGATTGCGCAATAAACTACACGCAATCTGGTTTCGTTATTTTGGAAAGTCGCGCACACAAATAGTTTGAAAAAGAGCAGAAAGACGAACGTACAACTAGTGCAAAACTCTATTCGCGTCATTATACGCAATCGTGAGACCATGGTGTACATTCATCTCTCAAATATCACTCATACTTTATTTCAACCGTGGGATTCCGTAGACAATACTGAACAGACACATCAGGCTCATACACAGTATGAAACCTAGCACGACAGCATCTGTAGTGATAGTGACGATGTAGCTGAGATCTGTGACCCAGATAGCAGAATGTAAATGAATACCAGCGAAAGCAGAGTTGGTTGTCCAAACAAACATAGAAGCACAGAAGCGATCGAGATTGCGGGTCATTTTACAGCACACCAGGGTACAACGCGTGTGCTGTTGTATCCTTCCCGTAAACCCGAAAAGGGACTGTTATGCCCAATCAGTTGAGTCTCATCACACTTGCTAAATTATCAGATATAGAGTATGCTTTCAAGATGGTCAAATGCTGTCGGGAAATCAATGAATCGGGCCACTAAAGGTGGGTGGAATGTGAGATGTCCAGGGATTCAAAGCGGAGTGGATATTTGATTGACACAACCTATTCCGGCCTGAAGTCTCTTTAGTCCTAATTTTTTACTCCTAAATTTGGTGAGGTGGTGCAGGAGTGGTTTGGTGAGAATCTATCAGGAAGGTCAGATTCCTGAAAGCAATTTCAGAACGCCCGGAACCTACTACTCCACCAAAAACTCAACTGGAAAGCCGGCAAGCATCCAGGCCAGTCAATCATTCAATCAATTCAGCAAAACCTGATGAGTGTTCTTGCGGCCACAGAAGCACGACCGAATGTGATCAGCGTTCAGGCTTTTCACAGAGACACGATCGATGTTGCTGGATGTTCACTAACGCCTATCAGACAGCCTGGATCAATGTCAGAAAGTCCCCTTTAAATAGGGTGGGGCCGTTGTAACTTTTGCTCACGCTCTCACTCTCACTCGCTTGTTCGGAATACAGCTGTTGTGTTCCCTTCTGTGAGTCTTTTCTCTCCGACACTAGGCACTGGA